CTGATCACTGGCATTCTAAAAAACAAAAAATGCCACACCTGTAGCCTATACCAATTTTTCCTTGTCTGGTAAAGCGGGAGGGTAGGGGAGAAAGTAGAGACACCAATATAGGGTTTAGCAATGCTGCCAAGGGATATAGCATTGTATAGTAGAAAGAATGCTGAATTTGTAATCAGGAGAAACTTGGGTTCTAATCTCACCTGTGATACTTAGTTGTGTGACCGTGGGCAAGTCAATTAAACCTATGAGTCTGTTTCCTCACTTGTAAAATATGGGTAATACCACTCCATAGTACTTACTTCATGGGTTGTTCAGAGACTAAATGAGATAATCTATGCAAAATGGTTTAGAAACAAAACATTATAGAGCCATTTCAAATGTTATTAGCAGGGATGTGTTATCTTCAGGTACCCTTATTAAGCACTGGGGATACAGACAGCAAAAACAAAAACTCCTTTCCCTGCCCACAAAGAACTCACATTCTAATGGGGAAGTATGTAAATATCTAGGTAAATACAAGATGTAACAGAGCAGATGGACAATCTTTTTAGAAGGAAGGCACTAGGCAAGCCTCCTGTAAAGGTGGAATTAGAGGTCAGGTTTTTTTTTCCCCAAGGCCAATTGGGGCAACTTGCTGAGGGTCACACAGCTAGTACATGTCAAGTGCCTAAGGCTGGATTTGAACTCGGGTCTTCCTGACTCTAGCTGCCCTCACCACACTGGAGCTTGGTCTGGAAGGAAGTAAGGGATATTAAGAGGCAGAGGTAAGAAGAGGAGCATACCAAGCATAGAGATGGAGTGTCACAGGTGAGAAAAAGCAAGTAGGCCAGTGTGACTGCACTATAAAGTATTTGGAGAAGAATAAAGTATAGTGAGACTGGAAAAGTAGGAAGGGGCCAGATTCTGAAGAACTTTAAATGCTAAGCCTGATTCTGGAGGTAGTAGGGAGCCACTGGAGTTTTTAAGTGGGTAGGTGAGTGACATGGTCTTATACTTTAGGAAAATCACTTTGGTAGCTGAATGGAGGATGGATTGGAAGGTATGAGAGAAGGGAAGGCAGAAATGACAAGATTTGTCATTTGAAGATTGAATTGCATATCTTCTATATCTTAACTTGATAATAAAAATGTTTAGTAGCAAGAGTAGACTCCCAAGGCATATCACTAGAGAAATCCCCACTTTGCTATTACAGGCTGACAACAGTCCATCAAAACATTCTTTGAACCATTTATGAATCCACTTAGTCTGTATTTCTCTAATACCCACAGGAGCACTACAACATACTTTGAAATCAAGGTATACTATGTCAAAAGTATTCCAACATCTCCCCTTTTCAATCAAGTGACTCTACATACTACTGCTTGATTAATCTTTATAAATAAGATTATGAAGCCACAATTTTTGATATATTTTACAAAAATATAAAATGGAAATTCTTTAAAAGCAAGGCTATCAACCTAAAATCATCTACTTACAAGAATGTGACCTAAACACTTTTTCAGAAAAGCACCTATTATACAAAGAAGTGCTCTTTCATACAATGTTTGTACAGAAAGACTAATGGACTTCACTTTGGTTACATCTCACTGCAATAAAATGAAATGAGAGGGAAAATTATAAAATCAACTAGATGTTGATTACCATTTTAAGTTATTTTGGGGAAAAGATGGGCAATAATAATATGAAGGGAGAGCACTGAAGTCTAATTTTCAAGTAGAAAAAACTTTAGTAGGGTTTAAAGGAAAAGGTTATTCAATTAACTCAATTATCTCTAGTTAGAGGCAGGGCCAGAATCCAAACTATCCAAACTTGACTCTAACTACTGGATTCAAATGGCTTCATCACTCAAGGTTTACAAAATTAAAATTATTTCTTGCTTTTTTTCCTTCAGCAAACCACTGAAGTTGCTGCTAATAATTAAATAAATTGGAAATTTGAGGAAACCAGGAAGTTAAAGAAAACCCAAAAAAGGAAATCTACCTAGAACTAGAAGATACACTCGGGTCTGTTACCTTTAAAAAAAAGTTTTTATAACTGTATTTCAATATAATTAGTTTCTTTTGTCATCCTATGTATTTTGTTTCATGCATTTAAGAACATGATTCTGAGAAGGGAACCATAGGCTTTACCAAAATTCCAGAAGAGGCCATGAGTTTAAAGTATTGGTAGGTTTTACTACCTCCTGGCAAGAAGCCTTTTCCAGTCCCTCTAAATGCTAGTGCCCTGCTGCCGAGATTATCTCTAATGTAAACAGTCTATCTCGAAGTAGTTGTTTTCAAGTTGCCCCCACTAGAGACTGAAAATTCCTTGAAGGCAGGGACTCTTTTTAGCTTCCTTGGTATGCCAAGAGCTTTTCAGTGCCATGAAGTAGATGCTCAATAATGCTTGCTGACTTCCTGGATCCCCGGTAATTCTAGTGCCTCCCCTCTTTTGATTATTTTCAACTTATCCTGTAATAATATGTATTTATATAATGTTTACTATGTGCCAGGCACAGTGCTAAGTAAGCACTTTACAAATATTTCATCTGATCCTCACAACAACCCTGGGAGGTAGCTGCTATTACCACCTTCATTTTACATTTGAGGAAAATGAGACAAACAGAGGTGAAATGAATTGCCCGGGGTCCCACAGTTAGCGTCTGAGGGCAGATCTGAACTCAGGTCTACCCGACTTTTATAATAATAAACATGTATATTATTATAATAAGAGTAGCTAATGTCTACATAGTGCTTACTATGTCCCAGGCACTAAGTACTTTATAATTATTATTTTATTCGATCCTCAAAACAAAGGGGAAGTGCTCTTATTATCCCCATTTTACAGATGAGACAACTGAGGCAAACTGATTAGGTCACTTTCCCAGGTTCACACAGCAGAGGCCACATTTGAACTCAGGTCTTCCTTGTTGGGGGACTGCTAGGTGACCCAAATGAGGTGTGAAACGACTTAACAGCAAAGGTGGAAGAGTGGATGGAGTGCTAGCCCTTTCCAAGTTCAAACCTGGCTGCAGACAATTATTAGCTGCCCGACACGGGGCAAGCTGTTTGCCTAAATTTCCTCATCTGTAAAATGAGCACTCCAGTATCTTTGCCAAGAAAACCCCCAGAGAGGTCACGGCGGAGACGACTTAACAAGCTGTTAGTTTGTACATGATTTTTGGCAAGTGTTTCCCTCTCCCCCACATCCCCCATAGACTGCGAGCTCCTTTAGGGCGGGGGCTGTCTTTGGCCTTTCTTTGTATCCCCAGCGCTTACCACAGTGCCTGGAACATAGTAGGCGCTTAATAAATGGGTTACTGACTGATTGAGATCAACGACATGAATACACAAGTATATATGTGCTTTAAGAATAAGGAACATATTAAAAATTGAACCACCTACTACCCCTCCCCTTCCCCAGTGACTGGCTCTAGTATTCGTTTCTTATATAGTAGGTACCTAATAAATGCTTGTTGGGTTGATTTGCATTTCATCCTCGATCCATCCCCTCCCTCCTCCATAGTGCACCTTCCGGACGCCTCCACCGCCCCCGGGGTTCGGGGCTGTCCGCCCTTCCGGCCTGCTCGGCCCGGCTCCCTCCCCCGCCCGCCCCGCCCGCGGTACCTGGAACTCGAGGGTGCACTTGGTGCCCTGGGTGATGTCCTCGTAGAAGCACTGCTTGGCATTGTCGGGCAGCTCGAAGGTGATCTCCGAGCAGCCGCCCGGCCGCGGCCCCAGCGCCAGCACCAGCAGCAGGAGGGCGGCCGCCCACGCCGACCCCGGCCGAGGCATGTCCCGGGCTGGGGGCGGCCGAAGTGCGACGGCGACGGAGTTGTGGGGGACACACACACACACACACACACACACACAAAGCCGAGGGAGCCCGGCTCCGGCCTCCCCCCTCCCCCGAGGGCTCACCACTGCGGAGGAGGCCCGGAGGCTTCGAGGCCCCGGGAGCCGGCGGCGGAGGACCACAGGGCAGCGCCGGTCTCGCCGGAAAACGGCTCCGCGAGGCGCGAGCTGGGGAGCGGGTGGGGGCAGGGAGAAGCGACGCGCGGGCCTGGTGGGGGAGGGGGAGAGACCCGGACGGAGAGGAGGTGAGGGGGCAGGTCAGGGAGGGGGCAGGGAGGGGGCGAAGCTACCGCGGCGGCGGCGGCGGCGGCGGCGGAAGAGGAGACGGCGGGTGTAAAAGAGACCGGAAACTGCAGGAAGTGAGCGAAATTATTGAAGGAAAAGGGGCGGGGGAGCGCCTTCTACGACCCGGATGTAGTCCACCCAGCCTCCTCTGGGCTAGCCGGCCGCATGCCTACGTGGAGGGACGGCTGGCTAAGTGAGGCTGTTGGGGGCGGGGTGGGGGAGGGGGTGCTGGGTGCACGCGCCTCCTGGAAGGCGGGGCTGACGGGAGGAGAGGCGCGCGGGCACCTGCTGGGGACTGGGGAAAGGGAGTGGGGAGCGGGAGGGGTGTTGCTGGGTGCGCTCTCCTTCCAGGAGGCGGGGCTGACGGGAGGGAGGGGCGCGGGCACCTGTTGGGCGTGGGGGGAGGGAGCGGGGGGGGCGGGGGGGTTTGTGGCTGGGTGCGCTCTCCTCCCGGGGGGCGGGGCTGACGGGAGGGGAGGGGCGCGGGCACCAGCCGTGCTGGCGAGGAGCGCGAGACCTTTGTGTGTGTGAACAGCAGGGGGCGAGAGAAAAAGCGAAGGAACCGCGCCCAGAGCCCAGTGTCGTAGGGTTAAATGCGCAGATTCTGAGATCGAATTTTTAGAAGAGATAAAAAAAGATAAAAAATAACGCTTATAAGAAGTGCAAAAAATATATACCGAGTGCATTTCGACCGGAAGGACTAATTCCACCTGGAAGCAGTAATTAAGCTCCTACTGTGGGCGGGCCAATGGAAGACTGCAGCAAACGCCCTCTCTGCCCTCAGGGTGATAACATTCTAGTGGGGGACACCAGAAGCAAAAACCTGTGTATACAAGGTTTCTGTTGTGGTGCTTCAGGCGTGACCTATTCTTCGTGACCCCTTTTGGAGGTTTCTTGGCAAAAATGCAGGAATAGTTTGCCATTTCCTTTCTCCAGCGGAGGAAATTGAGGCAAACAGAAGTGATTTATTCAGGGTCACACAGCCAGTTAAGGGTGAGGGCAGATTTGAACTCGGGATCTTCCCGACTTCAGGCCCAGCATGTTATCCGCTGAGCCATCTAGGTGCCCCTTATATGCAAGAGAGGGTAATCTCGGAGGGATGACACCCAGAGAAGCCCCCCTGTGCTTCCCCTAGGAGAACCTTGTCTTTGAGATTACTTTCCCTTTATTGGGTATATATTTTGTATTACATAATTACTCATCTGCTGTCTCCCCTTAGAGAAGTTAAGGGAAAGTCAGTCACAGAGGGAAGGCGCAGTAGGAAGCACCTGGAAAGGCCTCCAGCTGAAGGGAGGGTCCCTCCCCACTGCCAGAGCCTGCTAGCTCTGAGGCTACTGTCTAGACTGAAATGACTTTCTTTTTACTCTCTCTATAGCTTGCATTCTAGTAGGAAAACGGCAAGTGAAGAATGATGTGCTTTCTGTACCTAAAGGGATGGTAATCTCGAAGGGAAGGCTCTAGCACGGAGAAGCCCTTGGGGGATTTTCTCAGTCCCTACCACAGCTAGGCCTTCTCTTTGAGATTACCTTCCATTCTTCTGTAGATATCTTACATTCTAATGGAGAGATTGTAGAGACTGTAGAGACTCCAGGGAGTCTCTACCTGTTTTGCTAAACTTCCTCTTAAGAGCATAAGAAAAGAAAGTGTGAGGTAAGTAATAGAGAATGGATGAAAAAACATTTATTAAGCACGTACAATGTGTAAAGTCAAGTCAGTTAGGATAGAGCATAGAGATGAGATAATTGAATCCTAGGGACCAGATGATAGCAACTGAAATAGTATTGTGGGAGAAGAGAAAAGGGCCAGGATATAGTGTGGGGGGGACACCCATGGTTAGTGGGTATGACTTGAAGATTCATCAAAGGAGACTGAGACTGGGCAGGTAGGTAGGAGGAAAATAAAGACTAATGTCATGAAAACCTAGAGAGAAGAGAGTATCAAAAAGAGAGTGATTGATCGTGTCAGATATTGCAAAGGACATGTCTGTAAGTTCCCTTATGTATTTTAACAGAGCCCCAAAATATTTGTCTAATGATTTTTGAAACATACAAACCATGTGGCCCTTGTTTCCTTGATCCTCCTTATGCATATAGCTATGGCCTAATAAATATGGATAATACCATGAAGTAGTCCCCATTTATTTGATTCTGAACTGTTTGAAGTTATAATTATGTAAACTATGGTAACTGGTTTCAACCAAGTGGAAAATAGGCAGTGCAAATTTGAATAATGTGGCTACTTCAGAGGATTGATTATTTGTGCAAATAGAGACTTACCTGTATGCATGCATATAATAGAATTTGTTATTATTTTTAACTATATTCTTTAAAAAAATCAATTTTACTTTATTTTCAGCTCCCGATTCTCTCCCTCACACTTGCCTCTAACCCCTATTAATAAAGCAAGAAAAACCAAATCTGTTATAAACATGTATAGTCAAGCAAAACAAATCGCCACATTAGCTATTTCCAAAACTTCCCTATCTGGAGTTGGGTTGCATGTTTCGTTATGACTCCTCTGGAATTGTGATTAGTCCTTGTTTTAACTAAATTCTTTGCCTTGATCTTATGTTTTAAGATAATTTATATCACTACATCTAAGATATACACTGACTTATACAAGTAGAGTTAAACATTTGAAAACTTTAAAAAAAAATACCATTTTGACAAAGAACTTGGTGTGGGCAGGACCAGCCCTCTATGTAGGTGAAGTCAGGAGTCATCTACTTTTGTTGACCCCAAGTAGTATAGACACGACTTCATCAACAAGTTATCAAGAAGGGACTTCCAGTTAAGATGGTAATGTGAAAAGGTTTTTGCTGTGGGAAGCCTGGCTAATAAACTCCTTATCGAAGATCTAAAAGGGTACCAGATGAAACAATAATCAATAAGACCAATAGGAAACATCAATAAGTTTCTCCATCCAGTCCAGGACTGAACAAGAAAGCCAGAAGCCTGGTGGATGCTCCTAGAGGTTACCAGAAGCGTGTAAAAAGGACTGCCCAGGGAAATAGACCTGGCTCCAGGATGCCTGAACCTGACCAGTGGCCAATATTTATCGGCCACAGGCGGGACCAAGGTGATGGAGGATTGAAACCAGTGTAATCTCTAACATCCAGTATCCTTCGAGGGCCTCAGTAGGGGACAAATTCAACTCCCACATAATGATTATGTGGGGAAAAAGAAATGGACAGGGCCAAGACCAGTGCCCCAGGTGCCCCCCCCCCCACTACTGTGGGAGATTGAGGCAGAAACCAGGGATTCTAGCACAGGGCAGGGAGTCCCTATCCCAGGCTAAGACTTTGAAAGCTGCCAGAGAGGAGGACCAAGAACTAGCCATCCCATCTAGGACTCCAGAAAGGCACTGATAGTAGAATCCAGACTATACCAGGGATAGGACCTTGTAGGGCATGGAGCTGCCCTATTCTGCCATAGTCCTATCTTCTACCTTTTTCTTCCAATTCCTCCATCTTCTTTTCCTTTCTTGGCTAGGTATTGATCATCCATCCCCATCTCTGCTAGAGGAATTCTGGAGGGAATTTCTCCCCTAGGCCCATTTCCTCCCTTTTTATTTATTTTTTAAATTTATTTTGAGTTATAAACAATCACTACCATGAGCTTTTGACTTTTAATTTTTTTCTCCATCTCCCTCTCCACCTCCCTCCCCAAGATGGTGCACAATCTGATATAGACTATATATATATACATTTCTGTTAAACATATTTTCACATTAGTCATGTTATAAGGAAGAATGAGAACCAATAGGAGGAACCACAAGAAAGATTTTTTTACTGTGACTATGGATAGCTTTAATTTCTTCATTTGAGAGTTGTCTGTTCATATCCTTTGACCGTTTATCAGTTGGGGAACACTTCCTCCCTTTTGACCAGTTCCCTCCAGGCTCTCCACTCTGTAGGGCAGACACTACATTCACCCTGAACCCTCCTATATGGATTATCTATCCGTTAGTGTGATTTCCTTGAAATCTTTTTCAAGAGGATTGTTATTTTTTTTTTCCATTTGTACTCCCAATGGGTTAACATAGCACTTAATTCATAGTAAGTACTTAATAATTGTTTTTAATTTATTTCATTAATTTTGAAAGCTCCATAAGTCTCAACCCACCTGGCCCTGCCCAAGCCTGCCCCAATGTGTGCTATCCACATATGCTAGACTAAACTAGTTTTTAGAGAGTTGCATCAAGTAAGGTGTAAGAACAATTGATACATAACATTCCTTCTCCACCCTCCACCCCTCCCAAAAAAAAAAAATCTGTGACACAGCCTTCCACCAGCACATACAGAGTCCAGAGGAAGATAAGCTCAGACTTAGAAAGCACATGTTGAAAAGGGATGATTCACAATTCTTGGTTGTTGGAAGTCTTTTTTTCCCTTTTGTGGGGACACTAATGAAGATCCCCTCAGGCATGGTATAGCTTTTTTGTTGTGCTTCTTGTGCCTCTGGGTGCCTAGTTTGTTCTCAGATCCCAATGTAGGCATTGCTGCCAGCTACTGCTGTTTTGGGGACACCAATGAGTCCAAACAGGGACTGTCTTGGGCTAAGGGATGGCTGAGGTTCTCCTTCTCATCCTCTTTCTCTTCCTCCTCCTTCTTCTCCTCCCCTCCAACTTGCCTTGGCTGGGAGGGCTCTCTGTCTCTCCACCACCACTCTCGGATCTCTAGATTTGTTTGGATATTTTATGCAAAACCCACAGAATATGACCAAGTCTCCTCAACTAATCCAATATATATTTCCAGTGCAACATTACTCCATTTCTTAAGCTTTTGATTGATTGGTTCACCAGAGATGACTGTGCTTCCATTCACTCCTAGTT